AAGAGCTGCCTCCCCAAAGGAGAGTCAACCTTAATGACGTGGATGGAGTCAAGCTTTCCAGACCTTCATCTGCTGATGTGGCACAACTCAAAATGAGAAGAAACAGCTGCAAACATCCATTAATAATTGGAACATGGAATGGATGAAGAAAGAATCTAGGAAACTTGGAAATCATCAAAAATGAAATGGAAAGCATAAATAATTTCAGTTGGGTTCCTGAATTTGTTGTGAGTTCTTTCTCCTTTGTCAGCTAATCTGCTTCTGTACCTGCTCCTGGTATACATGGACCTACAAGACCCTCACGATGCAGCCGACACGCCCAATCTCGGCAGCAGGCCTGGGTCTGAGCTTTCGCTTAAATTCTTCTTCTCTCCTCCCTTCCGACCTCCCAGCTCTAGTCTTCCCTCCCCTAGGAAGTCCTCGCAAGCCCCATCCCCTCCCCAGACCATACTGACCTGTCCGTTCTCAGAACCTCTGGAGCACAGGTGGTCTGCCTCACTCGGGGACGCTGAGCACAGACGGCCTGGCTCTGGGGTTTACATTCTTAACAATTAGATTAAATAGTACAGCTACATGGCAGGACCTGTGTGAAACCTTCCAGAGCTCATTCCTCTCCCTCCCAGGGGTAACCATCATCCTGACTTGGCTGTATAGCTTCCCCACTCCGTTTTTTTTAAAGAAACAAACTTTATTTCTTTAGAACAGTCTCAGAGTTACAGAAAAATTCAGATGATAGTGGTAAGGTGCCATCTACCCTGCACGCAGCTCTGCCTTTATTAACACCCTGTATTAGTGCGGTGTGTTGTAATTAAGGAACAAATTTCAGTGAGTGGCCGTCCTTGTCTTGTTCCCCGTCTTAAGGGGAAGGCTGTCAGTCTTTCTCCACTGAGTATAATGTTGGCTGTTGGTTTTTCATAAATGCCTTAAATCATGTTAAGGAGCTTCCCATCTGCTCCTATCTTGTTGAATGCTTTTTTTTTAATCAAAAGAGGGTGTTGGATTTTATCATCTGCTTTTTGCAACTTGTTTTTTTCCCCTCTCAATTTATCATGTGTGAGATTCACATAGGTTGATGTGTGGATTTAGCACATTCATTCCGACTCCTGAAAATACAGAAAAACCTGTGAGAGCCAGAACTCAATGGGACTGCCTGGTTTTTCCTGGTCTCCTGAGTTTTCCGCCTTTGACAGGGTGCAGACTTAGCACATTTCTATAGCTCTCTTTTAGTGGAAAATACTTGAGTTTTGCTTCTCTGACAGGTTTCAGCCTTATACAGATTTTGGCTTTGCAGGTTTTACTGTAGTAATACTCTCTACACACACGCACACACAGGCACGCGTGGGTGCACACACACACACACCCACACGCACACATACGTGCATACATTCTCCCCAATTTATGTATCCATTTTCCTTTGATGGATGTTTAAGATGTTATAAACAGAACCACTACAATCATTCTTGTAGAGGGGCCACAAAAATGTGTATCTATATTTATTCTCTGGATCGTTTGCTTCTGTTTTTCTAGATTGAACTTCAGTGTAGACATCCGTGAGTATAAGGAAAGAGAGGTGAGCAGAGGCAGGGAGAAATGTGCGGAGAATGGGAGGGGGCTTGCAGAGTTCATGCCCCCTCTGTACGTGACTTCTAGGAGCAGCGGAACTCTGCCAGGCATGTGTACCTAAGCAGGAGAATTGCTGGATATGTTGGTTAGAGCCTCTTCAACTTGACCAGATAATGCCAGGTTGCTTTCCAAATTAGTTGTGCATTTTATACTCCTGCCAACAGGGTTTGAAAGATGCCATGCTCTATACATATGCTGAGGCTGGGATTTAGGAGACTTTTGATATTGCCTATCTAAAGAATAAAAGAACCCTGGTTGTGCAGCAGTTAAAGCACTTGGCTGCTAACCGAAAGTTCAGCCGTTTAATCCAACCAGCTGCTCTGTTTTAGGTAGATGTGGCAGTCTGCTTCCGTAAGATTTAAAGCCTTGAAAAACTGATCGTTGGTTCTTCTCTGTACTGTAGGATCGCTGTGAGTTGAAATCGACTCAACAGCAATGGGTTTGGTTTGGTTTGGTTTGATCTAAAGGATGAGAAATGGCTATCATTGTGATTGTGGATTTAACTCATACTTTCCCAGTACTCAGAGACTGGGCGTATTGTTATGTTTATTTGGTTTGATTGTGAATTACCTTTTTATATCTTATGTCCACTTTTCTAAGTGTTCATCCTTTTCTTATTGATGTATGGGAATTATTTGTAAATTCTACATACTAATTATTTGCAGCTAAATAAATCACATTTATATACTTCTTTTTAATCTTTTTTTAAAAAATTGACTTTTGATTAACAGACGTCTATAATTTTAACATAATAACATTTACTAAACATTCACTTTTTGACTTTTGTTTTTTAATTTGTTTTAAGAAATACTTCCCTATCCTGAGATCATAAAAACATTTCTCTACATTTACTTCTTACTATTTGCATGGTATTTCTTTTTCCATACTTTTGCTTTTAACCTATCTGTGGCTTTATATTTAAAATGCACCATATGTCAAAAATAGGCAGCATATAGTTGGGTCCTGTTTCTATATCCAGTCTGGCAATCTCTGCTTTTTAACTGAAATGATTAGTCCATTTATATTTATTGTCTTCCATGTAGCTCTCTGTTTTTTATTCCTTTTTTCCTCCTTGCTTACATCTGGGCTAATCTACTTTTTTTTTTCTTTTTTTTTAGTTTTCTGTTTAATTTACTCTACTGACTTCTTAGCTTTAACTTTTTTATTGTGGTAAATATATCTGTAACAAAACATTCGGTATTTCAGCATTCTTCACGTGTACGGTTCAGTGATACTAACTTCTGTTCATCATGTAGCTTTAATATTTTTATGGTTGTTTTTTAGTGGGTTCTCTATGGCTAACACCTTGCTAATGTTTACATTTTCATGTGTGTCCTTGAGTACTTATTTCTTCCTTTCTCGGGGAAAAGTGTGTCTTTGTCTTCTCTCATATTCATCATTATTCACTTGTTCATTCATTCATTCAACAAATAGATATTGAATATCCACCGTGTGCCAGGGGCTGTTCTAGGTGCTGGGAATACAGGTGCGAACAAGACAGATACGAACTTCACAGTCTATTTGGGGAAATAGATAAGTGACGAGGAAAGGCCTCCCAGAAGAGAGAATGTCTGAATTGAAGGTTGAGCAGGAATTGGCCAGGTGAAGGGAGGGATGTTATGTTGTTCCAGGTTGTGGCAGTGGCAAGTACAAAGGCCAGAGGCAGGAGGGATTGTCAGTTTGTTCAGAGAGTTGTAAGACACTCAGCATAGCTGGAGCCCAGTGTTAGATTGTGCAAACGGAAAGTGGGGTAGTGTATAGGTTGGCAAGGGGTTGAGTGAGGCCTAATTTGTTAACTTCTAATTTTCTCGTTGAATTAGAATTTAGGGCTGGGCCCATGGTATTCATTTCGTGAATATTCATTAATTGAATGATTGAAGAGATTTTGAGCAGAACTAGTTCCTGTAAAACATGCGCCCACTCCAGCTGACTGTAATGCCTTAATTTCCACTTTGGGGGATTTTGTCTTTTTGTGGTAAATACAGTTTCATTTTCAAATGCTCTCGTAAAAAAGATAGTATTATTCCAGAAGAGAGCCTCTTGTAATGTAAGCAAGGGATTTTCCAGGGTTATTAGAGAAGGGAGGGAACATCCCTAGACTGCCCTGGATGAGTCTAGGTGCCACCAGTTCTCTATATTCTCTATATACTCTCGAGTATGTTCCTTCTCCTCTTTGGACGTGTCTTGCCTCTTTTGTACAATGAGAAGTTTGTAAAAGAGTACATCTGAAGACACTTCCAGCTCTGACATTCATGGGTTTGTTAGCCATTAACATCTTACAGGAACTGGTTCTTTCAATGTTTCTAGCCATAAAAACTTCCAAAGTGTAAATATAGTAGTGAGGGCTCTGGTTTCAAGTGACAGAAACCAACTCAGATTAGGTAAAGACAGTTTAGGTAAAAAAAGGAGAATTTGCCTGTAGGATGTGGGGAGGGGAGTGTCAAGAAATTCCAGGACAAGAATACAGCTGGGCCTCAGGGAAGAACTGGAACTAGGAATAGCAAACCCTTCCAGGTTCATTCACCATGGTAATTTTTCCTTCTCTCTGTGCCTATGTTTTGTAGGCTTTCTGTGCTTCTCTGGTCTATGTGAGAGACGATGATATCTGCCTAGTCCTCGACTCTACCCCTTCTTTCTTTCCCAGTGTCAGATTTCTGAAGAAGAGAGAATCAGAGTGGCCCAGCCTGCATCAGGCACGGAGTTCTGACCAGTCATCCATGGCTGGTGGCGGCACAGTGTTGTCCATCTCTATGAAATGACTTTACGGAGGTTGGGAGCTGGAGAATGGGACGGTTGGATTTAAAAAGTGTCTTCTCCATCTGGATTGTTTGGTTTGAACTCGGGGCAGTGGGCACAGAAGTGAGGGAAATGTGGGCCTTCCTGACCTGTTGAAGGTCTCTGCCCATTAAGGGGTAGAGGTGAAGTATAAGTTTCTGGGAATCGGAGCGAATGTGGAAGAAGAAGGTGAGTGTGTGGCAAACGCCACTCTAAGTCACACTAAGAAAGCAAACGCTTTCTTGGGCCCTTTGCCTTCTGTGGCTCAGCCTTGGCCATGGGTTAACTCCCAACAGAGAAACCATAATAGGCATTTTTGCTCCCAGTTAACACAAAATGGGAAAAGAAGAGGAACCGAATGTCCTTATTAATAAGGAAGCCTCAGAGGGGAGTTGAGGGATGTGGTGGGACTTCTGATCATGCTCCCTCATAAGGAGGAAGGCTAACTGCTGAAACCAGGTCTGAGGGATCAGAAAAGGGAGCTGGTAGAGTAGGAGCTGCCTGATCCCATTCCAGTGTCCTCATGTGAAACTTCCCATCTCTCTGCAGCAGAGTGAAAGCATCCCAAGACCAGTAGTCCAGAATTCCAGACTGCAATCAAGATGGTGGGTGAAGGTCCCTACCTTATCTCAGATCTGGACTGGTGAGGCCAAAGGAGGTCCTCTTTCGAGAGATATGACCCCAGCCTGAAGACCATGATTTCAATGCAACTCTATGCAAGGTAAGCCAGGATGAGGCTCAGAAGCCTCAAAACCACTGGGTGGGGGTTGGCAGGGCCAGGCAGAACCTCCACTGATCAGAGAGCCAGTCAGCTTCTGCTCCACATGCTGCTTCCTCTGCATTTGTGTCCTTTTGTCTGTCCATCCATCCCACACATTTATTCGTTTATCCACCAGTCACTTCTTGCCTCCTATTGTTTTTAGATGAGAGGTAGACAATAGCTAATGTCTAAAGACAACTTTGCATGTGTCAGGCCCTATTTAAGTGCTTTACAAATCTTTGCATTCAGTCTTCACAATCACCCTAGAGGTGCTGTGATTATCTTCATGTGGTAAGTTCAGAAACCGAGGTACAGAAGGATTAAGTCACTTGCCCAAGGTTCAAACCAAGCTATCGAGTCAATTCTGACTCATAGAGACCTATAGGACAGCGTAGAACTTTCCCATAGGATTTTCAAGGCCATTATCTTTCCTGAAGCAGACTGCCACATCTTTCTCCCTTGGAGCAGGTTAGTGGGTTTGAACCGACAACCTTTCAGTTAGCAGCCAAGCCAGGCAGCTTTTCCTTTTTAAGAAACCACCTCAACAGTTAGTGGCTTAAAACAATTGCCTTTTGTTTAGCTTCAAATTCTTTTACTAAGCAATTTGGGCTTGAGCTCAGCTGGGTGGTTCATCTGGTCTTGACTGTGCTTATTCATGCATCTATTGGTCATGGAGATGGTTATGCTTCTAGGGGCTGGCTGACTGCTGTTTAGGGCAATATGGTCCATATGGACTCCCAATCTCCAGCAGACTAGCATGGGCTTGATCACATCTCAGTACAATAGGCTTCCAAGAGAATGAGTGGAAGCATGCAGTGCTTCTTGAGACTCAGGCTCAGAACTCCATTTCTTCCACTGTATTCTGTTGGTCAAAGCAAGTCACAAGTCAGCCCAGATTCAAGGTGTGGGGAAATGGACTCCAGCTCTTGATGGAAGAAGCTGCAAGGTCACATTGCAAGTTGGTAGGATACAGATAGGAGGAGACAATGGGGGTCATTTTTGCACTGCAGGATAGGAACTCAGTCGGCCTGACTTCCAAGTTCAGATGCTTAACCATAACATTATTTTACACACATGTTATTAACATTGTATTAACTCTAACATAAAATTCTGCCTTTCACACGTGGAATGGGAATGTGGCCTGTCCTCTAAGTAGAAGGGCCAAGTGGCATCCCTAGTCATGAAATGACACCTCACTGCATTCTGCCAGCATCTCTGGACCAAAGTACACCTACTTTGAGAGGGTCAGTGAAAAAGAGGAAGACCCTCAAAGAGACGGACTAGCACAGTGGCTGCAACAATGGGCTCAAACATAACAAAGATTGTGAGGATGGTGCAGGACTGGGCAGCGTTTTGTTCTGTTGCACACGGGGTCGCTAGAAGTCGGAACCAATTCAATGGCACCTAACAACAAGAGCACGGTGAGAGGAAGAGGTTGAGGGATGAGGAAATGGGCTTTCACCCGTCGCCACAGGAGAGCGCTAACTTCCTACTGTTTTGGCTCAGTTTATAATTGTTCTGTGAAGAGCCAGTGTCGGGTGGAGCTACAGAGCACCGTAAGGCCTGGAGTCAGCGAGAAGTGGGTTTGAATCCCTGCTTTACCACTTACCAGCTGTAAGATTTGGGCGAGTTTTCTAACAATTTGTGCCTCAATGTTTTTGTCTATGAAATGAGGTCATAATACTACCCTGCTACTCATCTTGCTGAGTTGTTATGAGGATTAAGTAAGATAATGCATGACTATTATAAAAGCCGTCCTTTGTGAAAATTCTATTTACCACGCTCACAGCACATCGTTAATAGTCTCTTAGTTTGAATTCCCCTTAAAACAGAGCCAGAACCAAGAATTTGCATGCAGGAAAACCCTCCATGAGACGGATTGACACAGTGACTGCAACAGTGGGTTCAAACATAACCAAAGTCTGTGAGGATGGCTCACGACTGGGCAATGTTTTGTTCTGCTGTACATGAGGTCACCATGAGTTGGAGCTGACTCAACGGCTAGTAACAACAACGAGCTTATTGGGGAGGTAATCCCAGGAGGCAGAAGCGGATATTTAGGTAGTGTGAGGCAGGGAAGAAGGAAAAGGCAATATGGGGATGTGTCATCTGTGTCATTGCTTTAGGCAATGGGGACTGGATTCTACTAAGTTCTCCCAAGTGTACAGTTTTCCACCCGAAGGATGGGAGGTGGAGGCATTTATCTATGGGCTCCTGTCCCCATTAGTTAAAGTTTGCCCCCAGGGGCATTAACCCCCACAGTTATGGGCTGTATTTACATTCCTGAGAAGGTCCCAAAACAGACGGTGAACAGAGACAGAGCACAAATTTGAGATGGGGCACTGTCGCATGAGCCTGAGCTTGCACAAAACCATCCTCTGCAGCTGAGATCAGAGGTGAATGTGGCGAGAGGCTGTGACTCAGGGCACCTTCACAGCATCTGCTGCTAATATAAGCTCTTACAGGGCCTGCCATGTAACAAACACTCGGTAATTACTAAATGGTACTCTGTGTCTCTGACTTTTATTCCCTCTCAGATGATTTGTTCCTCAGGAGCAAAAACACAGTCTTTCCTTTCATTTCCTCTTCCTTTCCTCCTTCTCCTCCTCCTCCTCCCCCCACACCCTATTCTTCTTCCTTTTCCCTTACCCCTCCTGTCTCCTTCTCCATTTATGCAATAGCTAATATTTATGTAGCACATTACATGTTGTCTTAGGGTTTTCGAGAGAAAAAAAACTATTAAAAAAAAGTATATAAATATGTATGTATATGATTTATTTCAAGGGATTAGCTCATGCAGTTGTGAGGGGCTAACAAATACCAAAAATTCGTAAGTCAGATAGCAGTCTGGAGATTCCTGTGAGCTTGCATCCAAGCTATACAAGTCAGATGATGAGAAGAGTACAGAGTGGACAATTCTGCCAAAATATCTATTTATAGTCCAAAGGCAGACTATACCCTAAGGAAACTCCCTTTTCAACTGATCAATTGATTATTTTACATTGGAAGACGTTATGGAAAGTGATTGCATTATATTACATCACATTACATTACACTGTGGGACAGCAACCAGTCCAGTGTCTGGCCAAACCACTGGGAACCATGGCCTAGCCATGCTGACACATAAAATTAACCATCACACATGTATTAATCTGTTTAATCCTCATAATAAGCCATGAGGTTGCCTTAGCTCCTCCCCCTTGTCTCACACCCACTGTGGAATTCCCAGCTCTGGACCCTCCCCCTCCTCCTGAGAGCAAAACACATGTGCCTGGCTCCATGTTGAATCAACTAATGGGCCTCCATTTGCCTATCTGCAAAGTGGAACAGGAGCCCTCTTTCCATACGATCATCATGGGACTCAAACACTGGTCAGTGTTCAATAATTGGCTCACCAAAAAAATTCCCAGTTGGTAGTGTTTATTGAGTTTTATGGTTCAAATACTCCTACAATGGTCCATTTCAGATTATCAACATGACATCACTGAATGTGAAGCTGTGAATGTGCAAGGCACATTGTTATATCGTATTTCTACCAGACAGACACGATAGACTTAAATGAACTCAAGACCATAGACATTACTCAATGTAGTGAAATAAGTAGAAGGAGTGAGTTTTGAGTACTTATCACCTTTTTTTTTTTAACATAATTTACTTAATTTTAAGTATTTATTATTATTTAACTTTTAATAATGGCTGCTTTTAACAACTGACCTGCAGAGTTTCTTGAACATTCAACAATTGGCTATCATGAGCTGGTCTGACCTGGTTCTAGAACACCTTGTTGAAGGACTAATGTTGCATGTCACAGGTTCTGAGCGTGCCTGTGGTTAGTACTGCAGTTGAGAACACAAGCCAGAGCATCACCCTGGAGCACTAAGCATTTTGTTTGCCTGCAGGTTGGCCCCCAACCCGGTGGATGATGCGGGGTTGCTCTCCTTTGCCACGTTTTCCTGGCTCACGCCAGTGATGATTCAAGGCTACAAGCACACGCTGACTGTGGACACCCTGCCCCAATTGTCGCCGTATGACTCATCCGACACCAACGCCAAAAGGTACCAGGGCTTACTTGGGTCACCTTGGGAGAGGATTCCCTTCTAGGAAGGGTCTGTGAGTCCTTTCCCGCGCTCCCGTATCCCAGGTGTGCGTCTCTCTGAGATGTGGGTGGGGCAGATGAGACTTCTTGGAGGTGAGACTGGTGTTAGTCTGGGGGGAGAAAGTACTGGTTGGAGAAGTAAGGCCTGAGGGTCTGGCTGGGCAGTTGGTGGTTTGTAGGAGTGTCATGTCAGGACAAGGGTGGCTGGACTTCCACTTTGCTCTGTGCTGGTGGGATCCACCTGGGCTGCTGCACAAGCTCCGGGCATCATGTTCTCTTTCACTTTAAAAATTGTTATTGGATTTTTTATTACAAGATATATTTAAGTTGAACCACATGAAACTGCTGATTGGCATTTTTGAGTTACAAAAATGACAATTTCATATGATTCAACATCATTCATGTTCATTATAAAAATGTTGTTGAAACAACAGAAGTTATAAAACTTAACAGTGGAAGTATGCCCACCATCTTCAGCTCCACTCTCCAGAGGTAAGCACTATTAAATGTGGGCAGGATCCGTTCAGAATTTTTTCTGCTCTGATTAAACTCACCCTGTGCTACCATCCTCTACAGATCAATACCTCCTTTTCTTCCTCTCAACACATCGGTCATGTTTTCTCCTTTAAACAAAAAATGAAGCAGACTTCATAATTGTTGATGACTTTGCTATTTTCAGTTAAGAGGTTATCGAGATTTTTCCAAGTCAGCACAAAGGCATCAACTTTATTCTTTCTTGGCTCTGCCTTGCTGCCTGGTGTCATTTCAGCTCCTCTCCTTCACCACACTCTACTACACTGGACTTCTTTCAGATCTTCCCAATGGACAAGCTCCTTTCATGCCTAGAGAACATTTTTCCCTTCATTTCTCTGACATCTCTGTCTTCTTATCAGAACTGGTATTGTGCTAATAAGGTACATTGGTGGTTCAGTGATGGAATTCTCACCTTCCATGTGGGAGACCTTGGTTCGAATCCTAGCCAATGCACCTCATGTGCAGCCACCACCCATTTGTCAGATAGATAGTCACCCAGATAGTCATACAAGCTTGTGTCTAGGCTCTGTCCCCTCCTCCTGTCCCCCCTCTTCTGGAAAAGAAGAAAGGAGAATCAGTGCTGCCCATCTGACGCCAACACTCCAGGAACGAGGACTGTGCTCATCACCCTTGCAAGGGGGTGTCCATCAGAACAGCTTCAAACAGCAAGTGGAAATCTAAGTGCCTTTCTTCCTTGCCGTCCTTTCATCACAGATTTCGAATCCTTTGGGATGAAGAGGTAGAAAAGGTGGGTGCTGAGAAAGCCTCCCTGGGCCAAGTGGTCTGGAAATTCCAGCGGACACGGGTTCTGATGGACATTGTGGCCAACATCCTGTGCATCGTCATGGCAGCCATAGGGCTGGTGAGTGGAGCTGGCCTTTCTGCCTTGTCTCCTAGGTCCCCAGATCTACAGAGAATGTCATTAGTACTTTCTTTACGCGCTGGTGGGTTTAGTACATTATCATTATCTTTGTGCTCCTTGGGGGCAAATCTTCATAGAGCTAATCCTTGTCAAGCACAGCAGCAGCCCCTGAAATTAATTAGAAAGTTTGCCTCATAAAGTCAGCTTGCTGACATTATCTGAGGCCTTCTGCACCAACCATGGCCGCCAGCGGCCCTCTCCTCTCTCCGTGCACTATTTTACAGACAGTTCTCATTCACCAAATCCTCCAGCAGACCGAGAACACCTCCAGGAAAGTCTGGGTTGGCATCAGCCTCTGCTTTGCCCTTTTTGCCACCGAGTTTACCAAAGTCCTCTTTTGGGCCCTTGCCTGGGCCATAAATTACCGCACGGCGATCCGGTTGAAAGTGGCCATCTCCACCGTGGTTTTCGAAAACCTGGTGTCCTTCAAGACGCTGACGCGCATCTCTGTTGGCGAGGTAAGCTGGTCCAGGTGGAGTCTAATTTTAGAAATGCAGATCCTGGGTTTTCAGAATGTGTGTGAGACTTGCTTCCTGGATGGAGCACCTGCTCCTCTTTGTTTGTCCAGCTCCTGCCTGTTCCATCCCATCTTTCTGCTAAGTTAGGTGGTGGAGACTCAAAACATTGGAGGAATTCAGGGGAAGGAAGGCTCCATTCAACACGGAGAATTTGGGAAGGCTTCCTAGTGTTCCAGCTGGGACAGGGCTTAGAGGTGACTTCATCTGATCCCTTTGGTTGTCAATGGGGACCCTGAGGCTGTACGGAGCACTCTGTAGGTATTAGATATAATTGACTGATGGATTAGGTCATTCCAATTGCGTAACAATCAGGGTGCCAAGGCCAAAATGAAGACAATGCCTGTTGGACTTCAGAGTTGAAATTTTCATAAGCCCTTAATCCTTAGCAGTAAATTCCTCACCACTTGTGTAAGAAAATTTCCCTGGTCAAGGGAATCCTAGGTGGTGTGAAGTAAGGGAGGAATCCCAAGGTGGTGAGAAAGGTTAATGTGCTCAGCTGCTAACTGAAAGGTTGGAGGTTTGAGTCCAACTTGAGGTGCCTAGAAGAAAGGCCTGACAATCTACTTCTGAAAAATTAGTCACTGAAAATCCTGTGGAGCCTAGTTCTACTCTGGCACACACGGATCGCTAGGAGTCAGAATCAACTTGACAGCAACTGGTTATTTTATGAGATAAAGAAAAAGACTTGCTTCTTTCTTGCAGTTGCTCTTTCAGATGTTTAAAGCATCTGTATCACTTATGATTGGAATCAGCTTCATGTAACAGAAAGCCCAAGATAACAGTGAATTAAACAAGAGGAATTTATTTCCCTCTATGTAAAAGGAATCTGGAAGAGAGTAATCTAGGGCTGGTATGGGGGCTTCCAGATCCTCCTATCCTTCTGCATTGGTATCCTAGCACAGGCTTCCATCCTCAGGGTTACCTAGTGGCTCAAGATGGATGCTGGAGATCCAGCCATCCCAACCATGGTTCAGACAGCTGATAGGATGAAGGAGAGAAGAACAAAAAGGGTGTGTCTTCCAAACTGAGTTGGCTCCCTTTAAGAATTCATTCCCAAAGTTCCACTGGACACTTTAGCATACATCTGATTGACAAAGACTCACATGGCCACACTCTTTCCACAAAGGAGGCTTTTAGTTGGGCATGCTGTTGCCCTCGATAAAGCAGGGTTGTACTAATGAGGAGAACGGGACAATATATACCGGGTAGGCAGCTAGCAGTGTCCCCTACACGCTCCTAGATGGTAATATTGCTCTATAAGCCTTTCTTCATTGGGATTCTCAGTCTAAAAGATTGGCCCCTCCAAAGTCATATCAGAAAGAGACCCACAAAGCTCATCCTGTTGGCCCCTTATAATTCCCTGCTTATGGCGGTTTTTCTCTTCTGTCCTCAGAGCCCTCGGTCATTCTGAAAGCCTTTGGTGGAGAAAATACTGGGGTGACCTTCCAAAGCCTGAACATGTGTTGTTTCTTTCTAGGTGCTCAATATACTCTCAAGCGATAGCTATTCCTTGTTTGAAGCTGCCTTGTTTTGTCCCTTGCCAGCCACCATTCCTATCCTAATGGCTGTTTGTGCAGTGTACGCCTTTTTCATTCTGGGGCCCACGGCGCTCATCGGGATATCCGTGTACGTCATATTCATTCCCATCCAGGTAATGGTAGGCCGTCGCCACTGCCACTTTTTTACATTTTGCATTTTCCACACAGCCTTTTGCTGCATTGGATAGAAGGAATAAATTCCAGGGCATGGACCTGAGGCTTCTGCACCC